GTCAGGCTTTGGGCATCCTCTGCAACATAACTCATTTTTGGTAAGTTATTCCCTAGCAGTTAATTTCTAGAGGATGCAGACACTGCAACGTATCCAATTAGAATCCTGAAAGCTCATCCAGGTGCTTGTAATTAGTCATTCCCATTTAGAATCAGGCCTGCACAAGACATGATCTAACAAAGAGCAATTCCTTCAGAGCAGAAACGGGTAGGAATCAAAACAAAGTTTGTTAAAATCCTTTATTTTTATCTAGTGATCTGGCCAGTAAGTCTGTTTTTCAACAGAACAAGCTCTCCTGCAAATGTAGCAGTTACAGTGTTGAGACAAACCATTTAACACTGACAGTGGCTCTTACAATGACTAACTTTTAATTATATAAAGCCTTTATCTCAAAAAAAAAAAAAAAAAAACCCTGTTGCAGTAAGTGTCTATAAAGTATTAGCTGAAGCTTGGCTTCAATTTGTTCAATTTGTTCAAGTATCCGGTCCCCAGATTGACAATGGCACTGTTCAATGAAGATGTACTCCTTCATCCAGAGTAACGGCACTCTTATACAGAAGGTGGGTTACTGACCAGATCACCAAGTGAAAACAGAGGAAAGAAAGCCTACAAAGGAAAACGAATGTGGCCAATATATTTATCGGTAAGAGGCAATATTTTTCAATTTTGAGTTTAATACTGCTTGAAAATACTGTGTGAACTAGTTTTTTAGGCTCATTTGCACTATTGTGTTTACAACATTGGTTTTGAAAGAGTTAGGCCACAATTGACGTGCTTTGTTGTCTGAAGCACAATCTGTACTCAGAAAGCTCTTCAGACAGCAATATACAGGCAGTAAGGAGGCTTTGTATTGCCTCCTCACCACCTGTTTTAACCCCCTAATTACCAGACAACCGAGCACAATGCAGAGCAGCTCCATTCACTTGAACGGCACACTAATCACGACTGCGTATAATTCCTGCATGTGTACACCCCTGGCAACTGTCGCAGCAGCAACAGAAGGTGCAGTTGAGGGGCAGTAAAAATGTGAGTCAACTGCAGGATTTCAATTGTAAATAAGCCACTGACAATGCTGTAGAAAAAGCAGCTGCCTGCTAAACCCCTGTGCTACAGCAGGCTGCAGAAAGCCAATACAGCTTCAAGTTTTTATGATAGCAGTATTTAAAATTACATTTGAAAACAGGATTAAGGGGCTTGTTCACATACCAGATCCATCTTCAGACAGCATTTAACAGGCTTTACCCCCCTGATGCTAGCATGACACAACCACGGGAATTGCAGAGCAATGCATTACCAGCTCACTACTATGAATGAATGCACACTTTTCTTAAAGCTGAACTCCAGTCAATAGCAAATACTTGTTCAAGCCTATCTTTCCAAACCTATTTTCTGCATTGCTCCACTGTAACGAATGCTTCTAATGCGCATGTGACATAATCACAGGGTCTTGATCAGGATTCTAGCAGGGTGCTTTACATGTGTTTCCTGCAAACATAGGCATTCCATGCCTTACTCAACCAGGCATCTCAGGCAACTCAGGATACCAACAGCTCTGAGCAAGGTAGTGGGGGAGAAACATCTTACTTTTCAACATTCACTACCTCTCTTTTCTGCCATTCCAACTTCCTCTATTGCCCACCCCCTCTGTACTCACTTGCTTCAAGTTTATTGTGAATTAGTGGTGTCAGCAATGACAGTAAGAAAATATTATTTAGTGCCCTGAAACAATGCCAGGATCTCTGACCTGGCGGCTTTCCACAAACAGCTAACTTCACAAGGCTGTGTGAGTGTGCAGATGGCTGCACAGGCAGGGACAGGGGGAAAAAAAAAAAAAAAAAAAAAAAAAAAAAAAAAAAGTTCTTCTGCCATTGCGTCAGAATGATGCTGGGCACTAAATAAAGCAAAGTTCTCTTACCGCCAGCGCTGTACTATTATAACATCAGTGCTACAAAAGAGACTGCCTTTGATTTACACTAAACATAGAGCAAGTGAGCAGAGGAAAGCTGGCGATAGGCGAAAAGCGTTACTAAAAGATCAGTGACAGGCAGGGAGAGGCAAAGTAAGCCGAAACAGCACCAAATGCTCAGCTTCTTGGACTTCAGCTTCTTGGACATCAGCACTACCTCCTGAGGGGACCACACTAATCACCCAAGAGATAGAGCAGGCTGTGAGGACTGATCTTGTAGACAAGAAATAGGTGCCTTCAGACTGTCTTAAACCTATACCGCAACTGGGGAAACCACTGAAAAGTATGTAGAGATCTAATTGTTTGCCAGAGATTTGTGTTGCTCTGGGTTTAGAGTTAAACACAAGAATGTTGTTGTACCATCATGCATGCAACCAAAATAAAACTGTAATTGACTATTCTAAACCAAAGGCATTATTTCTGTTTCATAAATCAGAAACCTTGGGTGAGGTCATCTTGTCTTCTTCATCTTTGAAACAGCATCTAAAACAAAAGAAACAGGTTAACCAGCAACTTTATTCTTTCTTGGAGCACAAAAAAACTGCAGATAAATCTGCATGTTGTTAGATGGGTGATTGCTTCCTGCATTTCAGAACTATATTTTTAACACAGTTTAGGTAGAGGAAATACCTTTTTGTATAAAAGACATCAGCTGACATTTTTCACTTGGCCAGGAAGGCCCATCTTACTACCCCCTAAAGTGCTCATTTAATAACTGCAAAACAAAGTAACCAATATAAAAAGCAAAATAAGTCTTCCTTCACTAATTATGCTTCAGTAAATCAAAATCCGATTGGTTACTATGCTTCACTGCACTGGGAACACTTCACTGCTCTTTGCACAGCACTAGCTCACTCAGTAAGCCCTATCATCCAAAAGCACATCTGTTATCAAAATGGCATGCTGTGGCACTAGAACTGCACAAAGCAGAGGTGATAAAAAGACAAGCAAAAAAAAAAAAGACCACAGCACTTGAACTGTAAACATTTATGCCTATTTACATGGCTAGGGTAGTTTATATTTGGGTTTTTCTAAAGAATAATAAATTGTTAATTTGGATACACCTATCGTTTCTGCAATGTTTCTATATGCTTATCTACACATGCTGTCAAGAATGACCTTGTGAGGGAGGTGAAGATGGTGTCTCAGCAAAGCAGCCGTTGGGAAGCCTTGTCTTGCTTTCCATTTTCCTTTCAGCACCATCAAGAGGAAAAGTGAGAAAACAGCACAAACATTAGTTAATACCACAAGTATTATAAAAAAAAAAAAAAAATCACTCTAACACAGATTGAGAGTATGAGAATTAAAAATTTATTTGGTATCAAAGTTGAGAATCATTGGAAACTATTCAAAGCTGACCTATGTCTCCAAAGACAGCAAACATTCTACTTACTGAAATTAAATGGACTTTTCAATCATTAGTGGCATTTCCCATTTTATCAGTTATAAATCAAAATAGACATCTTACAAATGGCTACAGATACCTTTTTCACAAAAGACTTTATTATCTAATGGTGCATACTGAAAACATACAGATATCTGCATGGGTCACTGTACATGCAGCAGAACCACCTTCACTTTACAATAAGTGAGTCAAATGTTATGCAAAAAGAACATTTGAAGGCTTAACAAAAAGATTTATTTACAAGGGAAAAAAAGGTAAAGAAGCAATTACCGCTTTTAAAAAGCAGCTGATTTTTGTTCAAGAGTGGAGAGTTTTATTCCTGTATTGAAAGACAATATGATCACAAACAGTGAAAACAAAGAACAAAAAAACACTTTAGATAGACATATTGGAGGGAATTCTTTCGCCAGACAAAATGGCTGTCCCTCTGCTTACTGTTCGGTTACAAAAAAGTACATTTTTCAACACACAGAACCTTTAAAATGCTTCTTTGTACAGATGTTTAAACATGACAGGATGCATTACTTTATCTAGGCTCTAAATCATCAGTCAACCCATAACTGATCTCAGTCTAGAGATGCTAGAAAACGACTTCTATTAGTAGTTAATTATATCTTTTTGGGGACTCCAGCAACGATAATTTTACAATTGAAATCTCCGCACTGCTTTATTGCCTTTCTTCCCCCAAATGTTTATTTTTCAAAAGCAGGATAGTGCAAGGCCAGAAGTCCTTTCCAACCACTGTCCCCTTATACAACTAACTCATCAGTTGTGGATAGACTGACCCATAAACCTTTGCAGATTGTACATATTTTATATAAAACTTTTTTTTAATCTAGTGGACTAAAATAAGGGAAAAAAAAGGGACATATTTATGATCCAGTACACTGAAGGCACCCCCTTTCCATCAATTGTGCACACTCCACTAGAAAGGAATGGAGAGATAGTGTGGATTGAAACTGCCACAAATACTGTCCAAATTAAAACATTACAAACTAACAAAACAGTAGGTCACTTGTGAAACATGCAGAGGCAGAAAGCTGCCACAATTAGTTACCAAGCTCTCAATATATATTTACACAACATTTTAAAATGCCAACAATGTTGATGGTTTAGCTTACCTTCAGTGTACTGTAAGTTGTACACAACCTGCTTTAAAAGAGGAGACCATCCCTGCAGGCAGGCTCTAGAAGGAATAGGCCCCCCTTCGGCACTGAATAGACCAAGAGCATGCTGCTGAGGCCTGCGCACACAACCTAGGAAAACGTGAATATAAACAGCATTTATGCTCGTCTTGTTTTCTCAAAATAAAGTTAAAAAAAAAGAGCCACGACCGCTAAAAATAAAATATTAACATCCAACATTAAATTGCAACTTTGTTTCCCCAAATATAATGTTCAAAGGAAATTGCATTTGTACTCTTGAGTACAATTCAGCCAATTTACAAGCATTCCTACTGTGAAAAAGTACAGATATCACAACTGATAAAATAAAAGTAAAATATACTCTTGAACAATTCATGCTTCCTCAACTTTGCAAGGGAAATATTTATATGTTTATATACATTAACAGGCTGTTGTAGGTGGTCTTCAATCCTGATGTGTGATTTAGTCAAATCATTTCCCACATTTAGATCTTTTCCTGGATGAAAGGGTGCTGAAGTGCTTGATTGATGCTAATTCGTTTCGCTGGATCTAACATTAGGATCTGATCCAACAAGTCTTTTAACTGGTGTACTTTTTTACGTTGGTCTTCTGGAAGTCTCTGGCATCCAATTAAATCAGCCAACAAGTCCTTTGTTGGGTTAATAGTGCTCATGACTGTAACTTTTTCCTGGAAAGCAGGAATAGGTTGGTGAAAAAAAAAAAAAAATAATTAGTGCAGTGAATTAGTTAGCATTGCTATTTAAAAACTCTCTCTAATAAAAAGCTTCTATTTTTTTTTTTCTTAGTTTTTCTTAGTGGGTAAGGGTTAGAGAAATTCTCAGGTTTTATTCACTCTTGCCCCTGGGGTACCCCCTAGTCCTAGTCATAGTGATTATGGTAATCACAACAGAGGAAAACCTCAAATTTTACTTATTTTAAAGTTTCTCCTGCAGCACAGAAGATGGGGGGGAAACGTCCACAACATTGTGTCCCTGAGAAATCCTCCCCTATGTTGGACAAAACGAAAACATTTCAGAGGATTTTAAAAACACCCTACTCTATCTATAAAAAAAAAAGAAAAGACAAGTATGGGTTTTAATTATGCTATAAAAAGTCAAGTATTGCATCTCTGTCCTTTATACCGTAATATATATTTAAATTTAACACCATTGTTTGTCTCCAGCTTGGGTTTAAGGTTATAACAAAGGAAAATGCATGTGCAGTAAAGAAAACTGACCCATTACTTACTGTAATATTCCTTACCCAAATTCCCTCTATGGAGTATGAGAATGGGGAAAGGCATACTACTATGGATGTTTCCACAGTACCATATGCGCAATGTATATTGCTTTGTTATCAACAGGAATTCAGTTGGCAAAACTGGTCTCAATTTTCTTTTGAAAAAACTGTATTCAGGTAGGATACAAGAAAAAAGTAAAACGTATACATACTCTTTCTGTAACTTTGTCAACTTCAATATACATGAAATTAAGATTTGCGTCAAAGTGCTGGTCCTTAAATACACCTTTCCGAATCATCTGTGAATGTTACATTAAAAAAAACAAAAAAAAACAAAGAAAAACATTAAAACAAAACTTTCAAAAAGGCAGTACAAAAAAAAAACAAAAAACATTAAAATCTGAGCACTATCAAGAAAGTTTCCACTTGCAAAAGACAAAAAAAAACAAAAAAAAAACAACCCATTGGTTTTATAAATCTACACAAAATCTGACACATCTTCATAGAAAAGAATTGTCTAATGCACCAAATTTCTGTGTCAAAACTTGGCTCGTGGTATTTGATCGCCTGTGAGTTTATTTTTTGTGCTATAAAAAAAAAAAAAAAAAAACGACCCGACAATTTTGACAAAAAAAAAATAAAATATATTTTTTTACTTTTTGGTATTAAACATGTCCAGTAAAGATTAAAAAAATATATATATATATCACATTAACACATAAATGTATAGTGCTACATGCCTTTGCTGAAAAAAAAATCCCAATACGTGTAAATTGGTTTACATGAAGGTTATGGCGTTTACAAATGGCGGTATATATACTGGGATTTTAAAAATTTTTTTTTACTAGTATTGGCGGTGATCAGCGACTTATAGCGAGACTGCGGCGGGCATTCTGACACTGGGGGGTCAGAATTGACTTGGAGTCACTGACATCCCCAGTGACACCAATACAGTGATCAGTGCTAAAAAAAAAAAAAAAAAAAAAAAAAAGCACCGACACTGTACTAATGGCACTGGGCAGAAAGGGGTTAACATGTAGGGCGATCAAAGGGATAACAGTGTGCTGTGTGCCGTTTTACAATGTGTGCTGTGTTTGTGCTTCACTGTAAGCACACTGCGCTGTGCACAGCCATACATAGCAGTGTGCAGGAGCTGCCAGGGAGGAGAACTGTTTTGTTTACTAACAGTTTATTCCCCCGTCGGAGATGCTCGGTAATCAATGGGTATCGGTGACTGACAGCCGCAGCCGCGAATGGCGGTGCGGGTAGGCGCGCGCACGTGCCCCCTTCCTGGAAATGCAAAGTCACGTGTATATATACACGTGATTTTGCGCAAAGCTGCCACCCTGTAGCAGTATTTCTGCTCTAGGACGGAGCTGAAGCAGTTAAACAGAACTCAAAGTAGAATATTTTTTTTTCTTAGTTTTGGAGCAGAGTAGACATGGCTTAAAATGCAACTGCTCCAGCAGACCCTCCACCCAGTCGTATATATTCATTTGTCCTTGAATCCAGTGAGACAACTATCTAGGTCATTATTATTATTATTATTACTACGAGTTTATATAGCGCCAAAGGGTTTGCTCAGCGCTGTACAATAGGGGGGACAATACATGGCACAGTACAACAACAACAAACAACGTACGAGGGGTCATCTATCCAATTGTCAGGTCTTCCTGGCAAGATTTGCATATGTGCACTGCAATACCATTAATTCCAATGGACTTCAGAGTACAAGTTTGTCCATAGGGCTTCTGAGTGGGTCTGGCCAGAAAGACTTCTGATAAACCATCAGGTAATCTAGACAGCATTATCTTGCTTGATTGAGGGACAGGTAAGTATAAAAGACTCTGAGGTGCTGGGGGAAGGTGGTGCTCTCAAATAAGTGTAAAATCTTTTTTATTTCTAGGCCTCCATAGAAATAAAAACTTACCATCCTAATGACTCAAAACAGGACGTGAGGGTCTCCCAAATGTTAATGCTTAAACAGTGTTAGCTGGAGTTACAGTATGCTTTATCTTGTTACACACGTACAGTGGATATAAAAAGTCTACACAACCCTATTAAAATGTCGGGTTTCTGTCATGTAAAAAAATGAGACAAAGATAAATCATTTCAGAACTTTTTCCCACCTTTAATGTGACCTATAAACTGTACAACTGAATTGAAAAAACACACTGAAATCTTTGGGGGGGGTAAAACATAAAAAACTAAAATATTGTGGTTGCATAACTGTGCACACTTTCTTATAACTGGGGATGTAGCTGTGTTCCAAATTGAGCAATCACATTCAAAATCATGTTAAATAGGAGTCAGTACACACCTGCCATCATTTAAAGTTCCTCTGATTAACCCCAAATAAAGTTCAGCTGTTCTAGTAGGTCTTTCCTGGCATTTTCTTAGTCATATCCTACAGTAAAAGCCATGGTCTGAAGAGAGCTTCCAAAGCATCAGAGGGATCTCATTGTTAAAAGGTATCAGTCAGGAGATGGGTACAAAAAAATTTCCAAGGCATCAGATATACCATGGAGCACAGTAAAGACATTCATCATTAAGTGGAGAAAATATGGTGCAACAGTGACATTACCAAGAACTGGACGTCCCTCCAAAATTGGTGAAAAGACGAGAAGAAAACTGGTCTGGGAGGCTGCCAAGAGGCCTACAGCAACATTAAAGGAGCTGCAGGAATATCTGGCAAGTACTGGCTGTGTGGTACAAGTGACAACAATCTCCCGTATTCTTCATGTCTGGGCTATGGGGTAGAGTGGCAAGACGCCTTTTCTTATGAAGAAAAACATCCAAGCCCGGCTAAATTTTGCAAAAACACATCTGAAGTCTACCAAAAGCATGTGGGAAAACGTGTTATGGTCTGATGAAACCAAGTCTGAACTTTTGGCCATAATTCCAAAATATATGTTTGCCACAAAAAATAACACTGCACATCACCAAAAGAACACCATACCCACAGTGAAGCATGGTGGTGACAGCATTATGCTTTGGGGCTGTTTTTCTTCAGCTGGAACTGGGGCCTTAGTCAAGGTAGAGGGAATTATGAACAGTTCCAAATACCAATCAATACTGGCACAAAACCTTCAGGCTTCTGCTAGAAAGCTGAACATGAAGAGGAACTTCATTTTGCAGCATGACAACGACCCAAAGCATCCCATATGGAAGAAAAATATATTTGAAATAGATTTTAAAAATATTCTTCTCAAATATATTGACATATATTTGAAATACTCAAATTTTGTCCATACACACACTGCATGTTGAAATGCGTTTTTTGTATATGACAAAATATATGAAAAATATTTTTAAAAATATATTTTTTTAAATCTAATCTTCAGATTTTTTTTGAACATAAAGTCATTTTAAAATATATTTTTTTTTACATACATTTGTAAATGCATTCCAAAAATGTAGATTTGTATTTTTAAAAATATTTTTCATATATTTTGTAAAAAAAACGCATTTCAACATACAGTATATATGCATATATTTATTGAAATATATTGAATATTGCCAAAATTGTAGTATTTCAAATATATGTCAATATATTTGGGAAGAATATTTTTAAAATATGTTTCAAATATATTTTTCTTCCGTGTGGGATACATCCAAATCAACAAAGGAATGGCTTCACCAGAAGAAGATTAAAGTTTTGGAATGGCCCAGCCAGAGCCCAGACCTGAATTCGATAACAAATCTGTGGGGTGATCTGAAGAGGGCTGTGCACAGGAGATGCCCTCGCAATCTGACAGATTTGGAAGAGTGGATAAATATTGCCAAGTCAAGATGTGCCATGCTGATAGACTCATACCCAAAAAGGCTTAGTGCTGTAATAAAATAAAAAGGTGCTTCAACAAAGTATTAAAGGGTGTGCACACTTGTGCAACCATATTAATTTAGTTTTTTTTGTTTTTACTTCCCTCCAGCTAAAAGATTTCAGTTTGTTGTTCAACGGAGTTGCACAGTTTATAGGTCACATTAAAAAGGTGGAAAAATTTCTGGATTTATCTTTGTCTAATTTTTTTACATCACAGCAACCTGACATTTTAACAGGGGTGTGTAGACTTTTTTATATCCACTGTTTGTAAAGTCCATTTCAATCTACTACTTCATCTAACCCTAACCTCTCAACAGTGCTGCTGTCCAAAGGTTACTCAGTTGATGCTCCAGATACAGGAGCCACCCTAAGACAGGATGTGTGTTACTGGCCAGATCACCAGGTAAAAATAAAGGATAAAATCCTACAAAAAATGGTAAACTAATGCAGCCACCACAGTTAAGGAATGATAACCTGCAATACAAATATTTTTTGTTATGGGGTGTAATACTGCTTAAAAATTCAAAGTCAAATATGTGGTTTTAGAAATAATTTTGCAAAAGCTACATTTTAGAGGATGAAACATATGCTTTAATGAAAATACATTTGTACTGGGAACATTTGGGGCTACCAATCAAACAAACTGAGATCAGCAAACTGCAGCTGGGGTACCTGAAACTTAAAATCAGCACTATATAGTTATTCCTAAGTTAAAGTGAAGTGACTGGCCTCAGGGAATAAACAGACATTAAGCAAATCCTCCTACATAGGTTGTACCTGTTTATTTGCAGTCCCCTCTTCTCTACAGCCAAATTATAGGATTTATAAAGCTTGTCTGAAATTTCATAAAGCAGGGGAAAGAGCTGAAGTTACACTCTGCAGAGCTCAGTGAGAGTTGACTGGAGGGAAGGGACACACCCGTTCACACAGCACACAGGAACAGAGATGAAGCTGTCAATCATAGGCTGTGTGCTGGAGCTCCCTCCCCATCACCTTTTTTCTCTTGGTGTCAGGAAAACTTGTCAGAAGTGACTCATGCAGATAGAGGAACGAGGCAGCAGACAGAAATGACACTTAGTGCTCTGGAATGAGACAAGTACACACTAGAGAGGAATATGTGTTGTTGATATTTCATGTCTGAGGTTTACAACCACTTAAAATGTTCAAAATATGAAACAAACTGTACAGAATTATCAGACAGTTTTTAGCACAACGTAAACTGGAATAATTTAGATTACTTCTTTTTTTTTTAAAGCAGCAGCAGGTCAAATCAAATTACCTTGTTTGGCATTTTTCCTTTTAGGTCCATGGCTAACTTTAGCATATGGTTATTGGTTTTTCCAGGGAATAATATTTTTCCAGTGTAGAGCTCATACAATGTGCAGCCAACTGACCACATGTCTATTCCATAATCATACATCTTGCCAATTACTGCAGGAAAAACAGCAGAATTATTATCCAGAAGCATTTGCAGTTACAAGTTAATATATTGTATACTGAAAAATAGCACAAGCTAATTGTTAATATGGCCTAGAAAACAGACAGACAATGATTTCCGCAAGCCCCACCACTTCTACACAACAGTGCAAAACATTCCATTTGTAACAAATGTTTACCAAGGGAACATCAGTACTTACTGATTTCAGGAGCTCTGTAAAATCTACTGACTAGATATGGTGTAATGTCATTATCTGCCACATGAGATGCTGATCCAAAGTCACAAAGCTTCAGGATGGTTTTGGATTCATTTACCTTAATATCAATGAGATTCAGAAAACAGAAAGATGTTCATGACCTATATTTCAAATATGTACATTAAAAGGTTTTTTTTTTTTTAAATGCAACAATTCTTCACAGAAATTCCTTTAAAGCAGACATCTTCTTTGCCCGTGCAGGGCAAAGCCACAGATATGCTTTGATTTCACCCTTCCTAGCAGCATATATTACTACTTTCCCTTCTATGCTCTATTCAGCAGCTGGAAGCACAAAAAATACCAGGTACATATGGGTGCGAAGAAGCATGCAACAGCCATGAGGCTTGAAGATTAGCACATCATTGTGATATTGGTGCACAGAAAAGTCCTCAGCCCTGTGACGGCTCTGACTGGAGCCACGTGGAGCTTACACAAGACTCTTTCTTTGCACTTGGCAGCTGAACAACGAAGAAGTAACAAATGAAAGGTAATGCAGTTGGGGAGGAGAGAATCAAAGTGAACCTGTTGCTTCTCCCTGTATGGGCAAAAAACAACTTAAGAATAATATAAATGGTGCTTTACACATGTGCACTTAGCTTTGCTTGATTTAGTACTTTGAAGAATATCAGTGCATGCAATTAATAAATGCAAAACTTTAGTTCTGTTTCAACAGTGAACTCCAACCAAAACATTTTCAGGTTAAATATAGCTGTAACGTCAATACGCACGTACGCAGACCGGAAGTGTCGCCGCGGCCATTTTGTCGGTTATCCACACATGGTTTTCCACATGGTTTGGTGGAGTTTAGAACCATGTCTGGAGTTGAAAATCTTGAATTTTAAATGTAAGTGATTAATAAAAAGGTATCCCTATGCTTTGAATACCAGTCTTGAGACCATTCTTATCTTTCTGAGGACCTTGGAAAAATATCTTTGAAGAGAGTATGGAGGAGTACTGATCCATAGTATTACTTAGCATTTCAATACTCATAAAGGGTAATAGTATTTAGTACTACTGTGTGCTGGTTGATGGTATACACAGAGTTGTAGTGATCACTGAGTGCTCACAGTGTGATTTATGTGATTATATGCACTATAAGAAAGCAATTTGGATTGAAATAATTTATTTTATTTAAATATTTATATATATATATATATATATTATATTTTTTTTTTTTTTTTTTTTCTCTTTTTGCACAAATATTTTTTTTTTTTTTTTTTTTTTAGTAAATTGTGATTTGCACGGGGTGATTATTTTTATTTATTAAGGTAATGCACTAGATTTTGTATTTTTTACTTTGGAGGTGCATATTGGATGGAAGAGGAGTTAATCCTTCTATTGGATGAAAAAGTTGGAAAATTTGGGACATTTTTTGGACACTGTTTGGACTTTCTTTTTGGACACACTGATTTATTGGACTTTATTGTACACTTTATGTTTAAATTATGTTTATTTATTTAATTTATTATAATATATCACAAAAAGGTATATATATAATATAAATATAGCTATAGAAGTGGGGAAGGGTTAGAACCCCTGAAGGGGTTTTATCACTGTGCTCAAGTTGGAAAATATTTCCCCCAACTTCCTGCACAGGACAGCAATGTCATGAAGTTTCTAACCCTTTGTCATTCTATTCAAAAAAAATGTTATGGCTCTTTTAGTTTTTACCACTACCAAAACCTTTTTTTCTTTAATAGGTGTTCTAAAGAGTTCTTACCAGAATGTTATCAGGTTTGATGTCAGCATGCAGAATATTGCATCTTTTTAGAAGCTTTAGAGCTAAAAACAGTTGCTGGCTATATGACCTCACTGCTTTGATGTGCAGGCCAACGTCTTTGCCATACTTCTTCAAAACTTCACGCAGGTTCATACTGCAAATTAAGAGAAAGTAGTTGCTTGCATTTTGAAAAATGTCAGAATATTATTGTCAGAAGACTGAAAATAAACAAACAGTTACCTAAGTGGTTCAAATACAAGACACAAGTGCTGTTTATGGTAAAAGTGCCGGAATAGCCGCAAACAATGAAACTTGTCATCTGGATCTGCATCGTTCAATTTCTTCAGAAACTCCAATTCTTTCAAGCCAGTTTTTTGCCTGTGGATGGATAACAGATTAGTACAATGGTAAAAGAAAGCAGCACGTCAAATGCTGGGCAATATATTCTGAAAAAACATTAAAAAAAATTCAAGAACCACGTATTTGCAAATTATCTGGTTCTCTAACCACTGGATATAAAACTTTTGACTTTTACTTCTTTACGGAGATAAGGAAGAAAAAAAAAAAAATAGGATAAACTGACTGACACTCATCCTTAGAAAACGTTAAAAAGTATAAGTAGTAGTGTACCTAAACATTGCCACGAAGAAAAGGGCATGCATAAAAGCTATTCAAGATTTTACAAAGTTAGTATTTGCACATTTGTGCATGTCAATTAAAATAGGATGCAAAACCTAAGTAAAACCAAAAAGCCAAGGACTACAGAGTGCAAGGACTACAGATCCCTACCTATATATATATATATATATATATAATATATATATATATATATATATATATATATATATATATATATATATTATATATATATATATATATATATATATATATATATATCTGTTTAGTTTCTAAGTAAAACAATTTAAATAATGTTCACCGCCACCCAAATGAAGAAAACTCACATTAAGTCATTGTTTCTGATGATTTTGACGGCAACTTCCTGATTAGCTCTGGCCATGTCCCGAGCACGCACGACATTACTGAAAAACTCCTTGACCCGTATATCCATAGACATTATATCGCTTCTCCAATATTTCCCCTATGTTTACACCTAGATTTAGGAAATAGGGAACCATGATTATGCATATTAGACAGAAAACCGTAAACAAACTTTTGATCAGTTTGGCTTGTTAATGTTTTATTTGTTTATAAGTCAAAATATGTAAAACACTGATTGGTAAAAGATATGCCATTATACTCTCCAAGTAATATATCTATGTAAATGTAAAATGAGAGAAACAAGGCTTTTGTATCAAGGGTCTAGTTTCATTCCAATTCAACATACTGGCATGAAAACTGTACAATGCCATCGTAGACCCAGCTTCTTTCATGGATAATGGGCAAGATCAACTGTGCTTATTGCAACAGCAATATGCACAAATGGCATACCCAGCAGCACAAAATATGATCAAGAAAACATTTCACCCTCCCCATTTTCATGGCATCACGCAGCTGGGCGCAAAAGCATATAGTGGCAAGGAGGTATACATGAAAGAACCACATAAAAGGCTTAACCACTTGCCGTCCGGCCGCTGTTTATAAACGGCAGGATGGTGGCAGTCCACAGGTGGGTTGCTGTTCATAAACGGCACCCGCATTTTCAAGCTGTGCGCGCTCCCTGGGAACGCACACCACTGTGATCCGGCGCCCGCTGTGTCCTCCGGACACAGTGGAACACCGATCGTCGTAAGGGACCTCTGTGCGATGTCTCGATCATGTGATCACTGATTGGTCAATCAGCGATCACATGAACAGTAGTAAGCAAGATGTCACTTCTGACATCATTGCTTACTACGTGTGAAATCTGTGAATGATCACAGAGGTCACATGGTACAATGCTATTAACAGCCTTGTACCCTGTGAAAAGCTGTGACCAATCACAGCTCACACAGCCTTTCTCAATGGCTGCAAGAATGCAGCCAGAGAGAAGGAGAAATGATTGCTTTTACATCCTTTATGGATGTAAAAGCAATCAGTGTAAGAAAAAAAAAAAATCTTCATCACCCCCCACAAGTAGTACAGTGTCAATGGTGACACTGTACTGCTAGGGTGACAGTATGTAAAAAAAAAAAAAAAAAAAATCATTTAAGAAACTAAAATAAAAATTTAAAAAAAAAAAAAAAAAAGTAAAACAATTATAATTTTTGGTTATAAACCAATTTGGGTTTTTTTTTTTTTAACTAAAAAAATAACTGAATAAATTTTGGCCAAGATTTATGATGAAATATTATTTGTAAAATTTTAGGAAAACACTTTTTTCAAAATTTTTGGACTTTTTCATTTATATAGCAATAAAAAATAAAAAAATCCCAGTGGTAAATAAATACCACCAAAATAAAGCTTTATCCGTCTCAAAAAAAAAAATGCTAAAAAATTCACATGGGTACATGACCGCGCAATTGTCAAAGTGTGATAGCGCTGAAAGCTGAAAATTGGCCTGGACAGGAAGTGGTTAAGCAAATTGTATTGTTTTCTGTATATATCACACAACTGTTACTATTTCCCCAGTGTTCCACTTTAATATGGTTAAGGTGGAACGCACTAATAGCAACTGATCAACTGAACATATTTACAGCAGCCTATACATATAACACAATTATGTGAATAGCCATTGTGAAACAATGTTAAAAATTAACTTACGATAGTAGCCTTCTGCATCTGTCCAATTATCTCTCAAATTGGGATTTTCCTTAAAATCTTTTCCGATACCAGCAGCTCTAAAACGAGCACTCTGAAAAAAAGCATTAATATACAGGATGTGAAAACAGCAAGAACAGATTGCAGAGGACAACTCTGCCAGGAAAGCCATTGATGGACTGAAAAATAATGTAAAATGAATCATGATTGTAAACACAGCTCATCATCTATCCCACCAGGCAACAAGTTACACAACACAAAAAGAGATAAATAAATAAGTAAATAAAATAAGACGGTGTGTACTGAAACTCAATCTGATGGGACAGTATTTAGTGGTTTTAATTTGTATTACTGATGGGATATGATATTACGAGAGAATCACTGTGTTGACTGAGTGTTGATTGTAGTACTTTTTGTTAACGTAGTATCGAACACAGTGTTCCTCAAACTTATTTCATTCAAGGCACCCTGTAAAATTCTGCACAGACTCAAGGCACAAAATTCTAAAATGTAAAAAGCTAAACATAATGCAGCAACATCCACACACATAGGACACCCAACATTAGAGATGATTTATACTTACAAAGCAAATATACATTTGTACACTGGTACTGACTAGTATTCCAGTGTTCTCCCTCACTCATCTAATGTGATCCCAATGCTGATGGAGAAAGGTAGGGGCAAACAAGGATGCTGTGCAGGTGTCTGACGTCGTCCGTATTAATCCATGACGTCACTGGTTGTTAGGATGCCGACAGCTATGTGGTTGGAATGGTGCACAATGAATACCTATGAATTTGTGTAACTAAAAGGCAGGCTTGGTCCACCCACTGACTTGTATACAATTTGTTTGTAAATTTTTAGGCATTTTGCCAAGGCACCCTGGTTGAAAAAGGCTGATCTAACATATGCAAAGTATTTAAGTCACAAAAGGTATCCTACTACATAGACACTTACATCAAAGTATGCAGCAAACATGTCATCAGATTCTGTAAACATGTCAGGAGCAGTTATTTTCTTTTGCTGGTTTCCTGTGAAGCAAAAAATACATTTATTACATTACACAAAAATTTTAATAAAAAATAAAGAACTAATAACAGAAATGCGTAAATGCCACACTAATTCTCTCTTACCATTATTTTGTTCAGTCATTAAGTTGTGTTTTGCTTTGACAGAAGCTTCAAAGGTATCAACATTCTCTCTCTCGTATTCCTTGACATCAGCAGCAACACGCTCAAGAATGTCATCTGGTGAAGCAGAACGACTGCGAGCACTACTCTGGGGACTGCTTGGCTCAGAGTTCCCTGACATATTGCTGTCTTCATTTATATATCTGTATTTCTGTAAGAAAAAAAAATCACATATTTCAAAAATCCCATGCATCAGGTGTGTAAAACTGATTTTCCCATGCCCTAGGTGTTTCACACTGACCTCTACAATTGCCAGCCTTTGCTGTCGCCTTTGCTCGATAAGAGCTTCTTCATCTTCTTCTTCAACATCAAAATCCTCTAGACTGAAAAAAAAAAAAAAAAAAATTACTTATTTAAAATAAAGGGCACTTTGAAGCACTGGTCTGAATTTATACTATAATCTTAGAATGAACAATACATTCAATGCATTCAATAAAGATACCAAATACATGGAAGTTAGTGATAATTTAATGACAGCCCCTTGTTACATACAGATATCCTAAAATAGAGATAAAGGCAAAACCTCTTATTTTATTTTGAATAGAGCTAAGGGAAGGTTATAACTCCTGTCAGTTTTATGATGTCATGTCTCTGTTTGGGATATTTTTCTTCACTTCCTGTCTCATAGTCAAAACAAGAAGTAAGAGGAATTCCCTCTCCAAAGTTGTCACCAGAACTAGTGCCCCCTTGGTAGATTTCAGCTCTCTTATGGTTTTGAGCACAACCTAAAAATTTGTGATTTCTTTTCTTTTCACTTTTGGGGATAAAGGTAAACATGACAAAGAGTGAATCTTCCTAATGGGGTGGGGGGGGGGGGCACAGACAGCAATTAGGCTCCATGCACACTGGGAGTTTTAATAACGCTGGTAACGTTAGCTGTGTAAAGTCATGTTGAAAACTTGAGTTTTTCATCTTTTTTCAGAGTTTTAGCATTAGCGTTTAGCGGCGTTTTTTCGCTGTTTTTTTTTTTTTTAGCAAGCAAAAATATTTTTTTGCTAAAAAAAAAAAAAAAAAAAGTCCAAAACACTGGTTTCCCGCATTTTACAACGTTAAGAAACCCACTAGTCCTGATTTTTTTTACAGCCAAAAAACGCTGATTACAGTCTATGTGCACAGGGACACATAGGATAACATGCTGGGGAGTTTACTGGCTGTAGGAAAAAGCGTCAAAGGTCAAAAAAACAGCCGCTGTAAAAACGTCCAGTGTGCATAAGGACTTATAACCTGTTGTGGGTTCTAATTCCTCTACACTCTATCCAAAACAAGAAGAAAAAAAATAAGTTTTGTTTTTAGTTATACTTAAAAACAAACATGAATACATTGACTTAAAAAATGCTTGAATTTGATTATTCGTTTTGACCGTATTCTATAACATTGACTTGCTGGTTTTAATTCACTATAATGCATGATGAATAAAATACAAAACTATCTATAGAAACACTCTCCCTTCTAACTAGGGAATCCGATGTTTCCTCACTCTGCTTGAGTATAGAACGTAATTATGGAAAAAAGGAATTTTGACTTACTTATAAAGTTCATATCTGAGTACAGTACAGGACACAGGCAACATATTCATACACCATGATTTATAGGAAAGTATCTTTAGGTGATTGGACAACTCCATCCAGACATTTTGGTATGTCTGTGTACCAGGTTCTTCTAGGCCAGTTTGGTGCCATTAGACTCCCTTTCGTTTTACTCTTCCTCTATTTTGTGGAGCAGGTGAGGCAGAATTTGCACTGGAAGCAAGAGATAAATTAGCCTGAACCGAGATTAGGACATCCAAGGCCAGGGTTAAAGGATCCCTGGTTCTGGCAACAGTCAAAGGTAGCTTGTTGTTGAATAGAGAGGCTAGGATACCCACATCTTGAATCTCCTCCATTTTTGGAATATCAGATTGAACACATTGGGATGAGACCACAACCTTTGGTTTAAGTAGTGGTGGCTGAGATATTTCACCTGCCAATTGCCCACTCCCGGGACGAGGACCAGAGAAAACCATGGACAGTGAGCTTCCCTCAAGGCTCGTGTGCCCTTGATGGTTGAAATTTGCCACTTTGGTGGCTTTGTCTGATTGCACCTGGATTGGGTGTCCCTGCAGAAGAGGGGTCCAACACTTCAGGGACAATCTGACTGCTCTGAGCTCTAAGATATTGCTGAGGAGCTTGGTTTCCTTTTGACCATGCTCCTTGAACTGACAAGAATTGGAAACCCTTCTCCCCAGCCTAAAAGACCTGCACCTGTAAGGACTTTACAGTGGCATGGGAGAAAGGACTTCCCCAGTCTTAGGGTAAAAGTGGTGATTCACCAAAATAAGGAAGTTCTTGCTTGTGATGTTTGTTTAGGATACAGATGGCAGGATCAGCTGCAGGAACAGTTCAATTCTTTCCAAACTCTTTTTTTCACTGGATAAAGTTCAGCAAAGATCCTTTCAGGAGTGACCCAATCATCACAGACTGCACATCCTCTCCGTTCATGAACTGGGTGGGCATACCCCCAAAGGCATCTTCAGGGACTGTGTTCCATAGCAATGAACCAAGTGCCAAGAAGAACATCCAGTATCTGAAGCAAACATTACAGGCCATCCCTACAGTGTGGGGTCTGGGCATGGCTCCAAAGGTTTTACTGAGGTTGCACTGAATTGAATACGCTACTTCTGTGTAGGCATTACAAGACAGTGAGGTGTTGATTGATGAATTCAATAAAAACTAGTGAAGCAGATTTCTTCACGAAGGAGAAGATGTCCATCACCTTCGGACACCAGGATAAAGCGGAGGTTTCACAGTTCAGAGTGATATAAGCTTATAGGGGAGGTGACCCAGGGGAGCGTGTCCTGAAAATCTTGACAAGGTCCAATCACCTGAAGGAAAACACCTACCGGTATATCCCACTAAGTGTGAATAGTTACCTGTGTCTTGTACTGTACCAATGAGAATTTTTTTTTTTTTTTTTTTTTTTTTTAAACTGCACTTTTTCTGTCCAGCTGGAGGCATACACAAGCTGAAAGCAGTTTTCTGTAAGCAACCTTTAACATGTCGATAACAAGGTTAAAAAATTTTGACAGTACAAATTTATCAGGTATAAGTTCAGTTTAAGAACCAAATATGCTGCTGACAGATAATGCTGACAATACTAGAAGACTAGATGTAAACATCATATTACTACAGACAGTATACTTAGATCCAGAAAGATCTGCAATGCCTAACTGAAATTTGTAGAATTATTCTAATGCAGATTATAAATAGGTTGCCAGCTGATAAGTGTGCACCAACAATCTGAAAAACAAACCCAACAGTCAGATTTCAATATAGTAATTTCCCAATTAACATCTGAACAGAATTATTCTGTACATGGCATACTACATCTGATTTCCTGTTTACTAGATTCCAAGAATTTAGCTGGATAGAAGAAATTGCCCCCCAAGTCTGTCACAATGACATCTAGGTCTTTATTATGATAGATATAGCTGTGCACATTTGAGGCTGCGTCAACATTTGCTATAAAGGTTGAAACAGTTGGACATCTGCATGGATTTCATGTAACATGCAATTCACCATGTATCTTTGCAATTACAAGATAAAAATGTTGTTAAAAGATGTATAAAGGATTTCATGATGCCGGTGTGTTCTCTATTTTTTTTTGTATTGTTCAAAGATTTCCTAGTCTGGAGGATCTGGAAGGCTGTGAATTTGATTCTGCATTCAGCATTTTTTTTTAAATCATTTTTTGTGAACTTTGTGATCCATCCAATACTTGAGCACTGACAGTTACAGTTTACATTCAGCTAAGTTACTGTTTTTATATATAAAAAAAAAAACAGTTCAAAAGGTGGACAAATTTTAATAACTACAGTATCTCACAGAAGTGAGTACACCCCTCACATTTTTGTAAATACGTTATTATATCTTTTCATGTGACAACACTGAAGAAATGACACTTTGCTACAATGTAAAGTAGTGAGTGTACAGCTTGTATAACAGTGTAAATTTGCTATCCCCCCTCAAAATAACTCAACACACAGCTATTAATGTCTAAACCGCTGGCAACAAAAGTGAGTACACCCCTAAGTGAAAATGTCCAAATTGGGCCCAATTAGCCATTTTCCCTCCCCGATGTCATGTGACTCATTAGTGTTACAAGGTCTCAGGTATGCATGGGGAGCAGGTGTGTTAAATTTGGTGTTATCGCTCTCACTCTCTCATTCTGGTCACTGGAAGTTCAACATGGCACCTCATGGCAAAGAACTCTCTGAGGATCCGAGAAAAAGAATTGTTGCTCTACATAAAGATGGCCTAGGCTATAAGAAGATTGCCAAGACCCTGAAACTGAGCTGCAGCACGGTGGCCAAGACCATACAGTGGTTTAACAGGACAGGTTCCACTCAGAACAGGACTCGCCATGGTCGACCAAAGAAATTGAGTGCACGTGCTCAGCATCATATCTAGAGGTTGTCTTTGGGAAATAGATGTATGAGTGCTGCCAGCATTGCTGCAGAGGTTGAAGGGGTGGGGGGGGTCAGCCTGTCAGTGCTCAGACCATACGCCGCACACTGCATCCAATTGGTCTGCATGGCTGTCATCCCAGAAGGAAGCCTCTTCTAAAGATGATGCACAAGAAAGCCCACAAACAGTTTTCTGAAGACAATCAGACTAAGGAGATGGATTACTGGAACCATGTCCTGTGGTCTGATGAGACTAAGATAAACTGATTTGGTTCAGATGGTGTCAAGCGTGTGTGGCGGCAACCAGGTGAGGAGTACAAAGACAAGTGTGTCTTGCCTACAGTCAAGCATGGTGGTGGGAATGTCATGGTCTGGCTGGGGCTGCATCAGTGCTGCCGGCACTGTGGAGCTACAGTTCATTGAGGGAACCATGAATGCCAACATGTACTGTGACATACTGAAGCAGAGCATGATCCCCTCCCATCGGAGACTGGACTGCAGGGCAGTATTCCAATATGATAATGACCCCAAACACACCTCCAAGATGACCACTGCCTTGCTAAAGAAGCTGAGGGCAATGATGATGAACTGGCCAAGCATGTCTCAAGATCTAAACCCTATTGAGCATCTGTGGGGCATCCTCAAAACGGAAGGTGGAGGAGCGCAAGGTCTCTAACATCCACCAGCACCATAATGTCATCATGGAGGAGTGGAAGAGGACTCCAGTGGCAACCTGTGAAGCTCTGGTGAACTCCATGCCCAAGAGGGTTAAGGCAGTGCAGGAAAATAATGGTGGCCACACAAAATATGACATAATAATGACACTTTGGGCCCAATTTGGACATTTTCACTTAGGGGTGTACTCACTTTTGTTGCCAGCGGTTTAGACATTAATGGCTGTGTGTTGAGTTATTTTAAAGGAACAGAAAATTTACACTGTTATACAAGCTGTTCACTCACCACTTTACATTGTAGCAAAGTGTCATTTCTTCAGTGTTGTCACATGAAAAGATAGAATAAAATATTTACAAAAATGTGAGGGGTGTACTCACTTCTTTAAGATACTGTACTTTCTACCCTTCCCAAAGGCATGTCTCCATTCAGGTGTCTTAAACCAGAGTCACAGATAGACTGCTTAGACACAACCAACCAATCAATGATGCTGATTTAAATAAAGGATTCGAGAATGTGCACCTTGTTTAGGTAAGGAATCAGAAGTGGAGGGCTGCCACAACAAATGTTATCAAACTTTTACTAAAATATTTTAGGGGAGAAAAAAAAATAGAAGAAACTTCCTTTTATGGGTGAAGATCCTCTTTAATATTCACACAATGTATTGAGTGAATATTCTCAAATCCTTTAGTAAATCAGCCTCAGTGTCTCTGCCTATAATACTTTCTGGATAGAGATAGCACTCACATGAAATGCCCCTTCAGCCATGGTCAACACACCAGAGAAAGTGCTAAGGAGGCACTAAGACCCTTTTATTACAAGGTAATGGCAAGGACACTGAGTGAAAGACACTACGATTGATTTACTAAAGAGCAGACTGCTCAGTCAGCCTAGTAAATATGGTGAAAGCTGTGTTCACTCTAAATACCAAACAATGTGCAAATGACTGGATGACTAAAAAGTGGAGGCTTCCCCTTCTTACCAAGCTCAGGAAAGTTTCACTTTGCTAAATGAATGGTCTCTACTTCTTTAGCAAATCAAACATAACAGAGTCTCAGACAGTTAAAAATAACAGAGCTCAGGTAGCAAAAGGCCTATTTATAAAACATTTCATACTTTTCATCAGATGATTCTTGTTCTATCTTCATTCCCTCAGAAAGGCTTCCTTTAAACTTATCTTCTTTGTCTTTACTCCTGCTTCTCCTTCTGCGAGTTCGGCCACTACGTGAGTGTGACCTCCTTCTGAGACGTGATCTACTTCTCCTGCTCCGGTCTCTGTTAGACAAGCCAAAATCGAAAAAGCAATGACTGGAAGCAGATTTATTCTTATTTGTACCTTTGCACATCAACATATATGCTGTTGACCTAAAATGCAGCCAACAACTGAATAAAATACAATTACTATGCAACACAGTCACAAAGGAGAGTATGCAACCCCTATGGTTACTATGCAGCAAGGCAGCCACTCGGCATGGGTCCTGAAGGACAGCAGAGATCACTGTAGTAGCAGAGGATACTACAGTGATTTTCTGCCCCCACAGGGGTTGGCCAGGTGTTGAACATATATGCTTACATTGGTCTAAAGATGGCTCAACATAACTATGCAAAAACAGGCATACCTGTAAATTAGCTTTAACATATTACTCATGTCAACAAGGACAAAAGGACTCCAGCACAACTAATTTGTTATAAACATTTTCATGTCCCAATCTCCTTTTCCTTAGTTTTAGCTGCATTAGTTGCCTTTTGACAGAAGGTATCTCATTTCCTGTCTATAAAACTGATCAATCAATGCCAGGGTGGATAAAAAAACAATGATTTTTTAAAAAAAAAATAATAAAAAATAAAAAAATTAAAAAAATCGATTTTTTTATTTAAATCGGATTTTTTTTATTTAAAATCGGATTTTTTTTAATAAAATGCTTTTTGAGGAAAATATATCACCATCCAAAGGTCATTCCATCATGAAATAAAGATTAGTTTTTTATTTATGTAGAATAAGGCTGTATATGTTTAATTGTTTTGGTAAATAAATTCCATGAATCCATTCACAATGTTATGCTCTTCCAGAGGTTTTATTAGATTATTGGGCAGTTTCTCTGCCTACAAGATATTATCACAGATGCTTGGTTTACTTTGCAGTTATCAAAACTGCATTTGACTCAGCGGAGATCACATGCCTCTTCTTCACAGCAAAAATGTTATAACATGAACAGAGTTAAGAAAAAGACCTTAATCCTAACTTCTACAAACCTATGAATACAGAATCAACCCCTTCAGTGCTAAGCTTCAGGAAGTTCAGTGAATAGAATAGAAACAATATTTTTCTGATTGTTTGGAGTGGAATAGATCTGCACAAGAAGAAAGTGAAACTAAGTGTGAGGAGGAAGGGGCTGACAGTCTAAGTTTCTTAAAATATATAGATTTTGTTTAGCCAAATTAGTTACCAAACATGGATGTTTGTTTAAGCAAATAACATATGGTGGAATGTTATTGTTTCAGTTGAATAAATCTATTTAAATTGTTATTATTAAGGTAATGATTATTTTTCTCCTTCCTAAGTACAACAGAAAAGTTGTCCAAATATGAATGATTAACCTATTAAACTGGGGATAAAAAAAACTAATATGAAAAGTTGTTATTCTAAAAATCTTCATCTACAGTACTTGCATATTAAAGTTATACCAGCAAGAATTAGTCTTTATGTAGAAAACTAGGATTTAAATCAAGCCTTACTGACTAGTGATTTAAATCGTGATTTAAATCAGTTTGATTTAAATCAAATCCACCCTGCTCAATGCTATGTGCTGGTTGTAAAACTGCCCCTTTGTAACACTTCTGCCCATCACCGCTAGCTGTGTAAGAGCTTTGGGTGCTTGCAGGCTTCTGCCAAGCACTGGCCTTTCTTTCACTAGTTCACATTAAAGACTGACTCCTACACAGACAGCACTGAGAATGGCAGTGGTACAAGCAATGCTGCTGCTCACCTTTCCCTAACACTGTCAGTTTACACCCTGTAATACAGGAGAGGTAGGGAAGCTGTCAGAGTGCTCAGCCTACTTCCTTCCCTCTCCGATTCAGTTACCGTTGGAGCACTCTTTCAGTCTCATGACTAAACAACTACCACTCCTCTGCTTCTGTGACAGCATTCAGATTTCATCACAGCCAACTTTCCCTACATTCACACTATTAGCTGAACAGAGTGAAAGTTATCTGTGGTGAAATATGGTCTGAATACGGTCACAGAAGAAGATGAGTGGATAATTTATTGGTTGTATAGGAGTCAGAGAACGATCACTCCACTGGTAGCAAGGAATTATATGTGTTTATTGACACTGGCAGTAGAACAATGCAGCTTTCCTTTGTTGTACAGACATGATGGAGTTTCTTGCTCGCCTGTTACTGACCATGCAGGCACCCACAGTCCCACCAACATTAGCTCTGACAGGGCACCCTACAAGTACAGGCTCCAGCTAAGAACACTTCTAAAGCAGACCCTGTGATATCATAGAGACACGGTAAGGAGAAACAATTAGCTTCATTATATATGGGGAGAGAGGGAGTTTAGTGTTAAAGTACAACTAAAGACTCTTGTATGACAATCTAGACAAATACCAAACTCAGTCACTATATTGTGCACAAGCCTAATGAACAAAACAAAAATCTTACTCTACCTTCTTGACTAAGCCAAAATTTTTGTGTCTCAATTCCCCCCACCAGACACTGCAGCTTACAACTGGAGGGTTTCAGCAACAGAAAGTCAGCAGGACTACAAACGGCCAGGTGTTGATTGTGAATCAGCAGTAATAATGCAGATGGGAAAAGCCTACATGACAATGGCAACCCTATTCTGAATTTAGTAGTGCAGCAGTGCTCCACGCCATTACAGGAAGCTGAATGAGGTGCACTTTGCTGACAGGCTCAACAGGTATTTGAGGGACTACTTTAAAATTAGAAGAGATTTGGAAATAAAGTGACACTCAAAGATATCCTTGTTCTCTAAATTAACTCATACACATCCACTACCTAATGGCCCTTTAACCACTTGCCCTCCTGAGGATTTACCCCCCCCCCCCCCCCCGACCAGGCCATTTTCTGCGATACATAGCTGCGTTATTTTGACAATTGCGAGGTCATGCAACGCTGCACCCAAATTAAATTTTGTCCCTTTTTTTTCCATGAATAGAGCTTTCTTTTGGTGGTATTTGATTGCCTGTGTGGGTATTTTTTTTTTTGTTTGCGCTGCTAAAAAAAAAAAAAAAAAAAAAAAAAGTCCCAACAATTCTGAGAAAAAAAAAAAAACAATATTTTTGACTTTTTGCTATTAAACATGTCCAGTAAAAAATTTTTAAAAAATCAAATTTTGTCATAAAATTTAGGCCAAAATGTATTCTCTGTAAATCCCAATATGTGTAAATTAATTGGTTTACATGAAAGTTATAGGTTTTTTTTTTACTAGCAATTTATAGGGTGAATGCGGCGGGCATTCTGACACCGGAGGAACTGACTTGGTGTCACTGACATCCCAGATGACACCATTACAGTGATCAGTGCTAATAAAAAGCCCCCTGCCCAGAACTACAAAATAACGTGTATATAGACATGATTTTGCACACCCATACCGCCCTGTAACAGCACTTCTATTATAGGGTGGCGCGGAAGTGGTTAATCATCTTTTCATGAAGCTGTTTCTTACGGTGTTTTTCTGCCTTCTTGTAATGTCCTTTGTGAGCTTCCAAACCTCATTTTTTTCCTTTTTTTTTTTTTTTTAAGAAGCGCATGTTGGCGGTCATGTGCACTGCTTTATGCACACTACACATCCCATTGTTCATAGTCCCTAGTCCATTTCAGGAGCAAAGGGTGGTTTTGTTACATTCAGTGGGACCACAGAGAACGCTAAAAAAAAAGAAATGTAGCGGAAGCTAAACTAGAGTTTAGTGTCACTTTAACTGAAATCCAAACCAACTGCTGACTTTTCATTTGCACAATTAACTCACCTCCTGTGAAGAGATCTGCTTCTTCGACGAGGGGATCTACTTCGCCTAAGAGGTGACCTTGATCTTCTTCTAAGAGGTGACCTACTTGAACGTCTTCTAGGAGACCACCGAGGAGGACTCGCTTCCTTTGTTCTATCATGTCTTGTAAGTCCTTCATCTCTGGCTCGTGATCTAAATAAAAGTAACTTTAATACCTTATGGACAATAAACTTGTAAAAGTAACCATAAAACTTCAACACAGACCACAGAATTTCTTTTCACTTTTTAAGCACAGCTGATTTATGCTGTGTGCATGAATACCTTGGCACAGAGTAAAATGATAGCTTTTATGAGAAAATTATGCAAGCTGTCATTGCTGCTGTCCTCTTCAGAACAAACTGCTACAGAACAGGCATGTAGCAAGTGATGTCAACGCCTATTATCTGCATATTTGTTGTTTTAAAAGGAAGCAATATCAGCCAACATATTCTTCTACCAGGTTTTCTTTAAGGGGTACCAAGGTTTAATTAAATTAAAAAAAAAAAATTTCACACCCAACACATTTTGGAGTTTAAGCAACGATGAATATATTCAATGACTATTGCAATATTTCTCAAACCTAATGAAAAAGCAGAATTTTGCCAAATGGAAGAAACCTGAAAAAAAAAAACCACTCTCAAAATATCCCAATACTGTTCCAGGGACAGAAGCAATTTACAAACTTTTTCTGTGATAGTAACTGGCACCAGCCAGAAGAATCTCCTGAAATGAACCAAGAGCAAACTATTGTAGTGGAGGATACATTTGCACATAAATGGTGGTGTTTACAAGGATATTATTATGGTTTCAGGGAAATCATTCTATATACCACTTGACTACCAATGTATGCTGTAACAGTGGTTGCAATGCAAGAAAAAAAACCCCAAGTGGCCAATGCTCTTGTTAATGTCATTTATCATTGGACCTCTCAGATCACAAACACTGTGTACATACCTTATAAATTCGAAGATGACCAATCACAAATGTAAACAGTGTACTGTTCACATCTGCAAGCCTGTCCTTCCTGCATTGTGAAGAAGTTTATCAAAAATAATAATTTAAGGATCAGCAGAAGGATACAAGTTCGCTTCTCGGCCTTTTGGCTAAGATCAAGTGTAGTATCTGTTCTTATCAGTGTCCAGTAGGGGTGCTCCACCATCATTCCTGCTATGTGGGGTGGATTGGTTGTATAGTACCCCTGCTGGTATGATGGGGGTCCTGATGGTTAGTATAGGCTGGAACAGAAACCGAGGCACCCACAGGCAGTTGGGGCCCGGGAGTAATTCCCCCTGGAAAACCAGAGGGGCCCAGTTCCTCCTGGTTTGAACGGATCTACCTTGTTTGGCCAGGGGCCGGGGAGGCAGAGAGTCCGCGGACCAGTGCCCCCTGAGTGGTCGCCTCAGGGGTGCTCTTAGTAGCACATGGGGATGGGATCCCAAGTGTGAAATGTGCACATGGTCACTGATCCAAACACTTTTTCTGCACTGCACCTTTTAGGGTTAGGCCTTTTGGCTAAGTCCAGGGCAATATTTTATGCTACAGGCCTCAGGGCCTAGAGCCAGTGCACAATTGCACGGCCATTTTTTTTTTTTTTATTTATTTAACTTATTTTTTCTCCCAGGTTTGTTCACTTTCACTTATGTGTGTGTTTTCTTTTCTCACGGATGGTAGGGTGTGGGTCCTCGGGCCTACCCTGAAGTCTAGGGGGAGGATGTGTGGCCTTTTGGTTCCTTCCTCCCCTGTCCCTAGGGGGTTTTCTCTTCAGGAGAGCCCCCTTAGCTAGTACTTGGTGGCTGGCTTCGGCTAGCCACAAGGAAAGGGGTCCACCAGGCCTTTTGGCTAGGAGGACCACACGGAACCTTAATCCCTGTCAGGAGCTTCGTGCCACGGGGGATCAGGGTAGAGATCCTACCACTTCGGGGGTGGACAAAGCACACCCCTAAGTGCACTTTTTTGTGTTGGTTTTGCACTAGCACGTTTTTTGTTCACTTACGGGTTTTTTCTTACGTCCGCGGACTTAAAAAAAAAAAAAAAGAAGGATACAAGTTCTTAAGGCCAAGATGGATGGAATCTTGGCCAGTTCAGCCAGAACCAGTCAATATTTGATCCATGTATGGGTAGGATAGGTGTACTGAAGTCGATCAATCAATTGGCTTTAGTACAACCAGACTCTCAGATTTGTTGCATGTGATTACTACCGGTGGCTATAGCCGCTAGCAGTAATCATTGTTTTCTGCTGGTAGGGAAGCCTCTCTGCCAGCATAACACAATAGCTCTGCAGAAGGGTTTTCCACATCAACACTGACTGTGTTGATGGGAGAGTCTAGCGATTTTCTTTCTTGCAACCTGTGATTGCGGGAAAGAAAATGAAATCATCTATGGCTTGCCTTAAACTGAATGTGGGGTTGGTTTGTCAACCCTTGCCCCCCCCCCCCCCAAATACATGTCATAGTCTGTTTTAATGTGATCTGTATATCAACTCCTTCACCTCTCCCTCCCTATGTATGTAACCTGTACATTTAATGATGCACTGTATCTAATGCAGCATTACCAGGTTCCATATTTACCCACCTTCATACCAGCATATTTTTCCATTTCCAGAAAATTTGTGCCAAAAACAAATGCAGATTATCTGGTGTGTCTACTTTTCAAAAGGGTGATCAGAGGGGTTTTTGGAATGTCTTGGCATTTTTAGAAAAAAAAAAATATATTTTATAAAATTTAAGTACAGGGTTTGCCCTTTAAGCTTCCCTAAACAATCCCACCCTCTACAGATTCATAATTATCAAGATTCGAAAGCAGCAACCTCAAGTGTTTGTTTACATTGTGTAGTAAACATCCCTGTCTTGGTCGTGCCTGTACAATATAGCCCTACGGACTTCTGTAGGCCAGTCTGCCTCTAAACCAGGAGATGCGCGAGAAGCGCCGCGCTTTGTGAATGGTCCGGTGTCTTCTGGGACACGACAGGTCCCAGAAGGCTCCGGGCAATTCACAAAGCGCAGCGCTTCTCGCGCATGCGCAGTGGGCACCCGGCTGTCACAGAAGCCGCCGCGGGAAGAAGGAAGGAAGGACAACTCCGCGGAAGTGGGAGCAGGTACCTGTCAAATTCAGGTACCCGTTACCCCTCCCCAAAGGTCCACAGTCTCTGGTAATTTCCTTTACTGTACGCAGTCTCTGGTCATCTGTACTGTGTCCGCAGTCTCTGGTCATCTCCTGTGTGTGCCCGCAGTCTCTGGTCATCTCCTGTGCTGTGCCCGCAGTCTCTGGTCATCTCCTGTGCTGTGTCCCGCAGTCTCTGGTCATCTCCTGTGCTGTGCCCGCAGTCTCTGGTCATCTCCTGTGCTGTGCCCGCAGTCTCTGGTCATCTCCTGTGCTGTGTCCCGCAGTCTCTGGTCATCTCCTGTGCTGTGCCCGCAGTCTCTGGTCATCTCCTGTGCTGTGCCCGCAGTCTCTGGTCATCTCCTGTGCTGTGTCCGCAGTCTCTGGTCATCTCCTGTGCTGTGTCCGCAGTCTCTGGTCATCTCCTGTGCTGTGTCCGCAGTCTCTGGTCATCTCCTGTGCTGTGTCCGCAGTCTCTGGTCATCTCCTGTGCTGTGTCCGCAGTCTCTGGTCATCTCCTGTGCTGTGTCCGCAGTCTCTGGTCATCTCCTGTGCTGTGTCCGCAGTCTCTGGTCATCTCCTGTGCTGTGTCCGCAGTCTCTGGTCATCTCCTGTGCTGTGTCCGCAGTCTCTGGTCATCTCCTGTGCTGTGTCCGCAGTCTCTGGTCATCTCCTGTGCTGTGTCCGCAGTCTCTGGTCATCTCCTGTGCTGTGTCCGCAGTCTCTGGTCATCTCCTGTGCTGTGTCCGCAGTCTCTGGTCATCTCCTGTGCTGTGTCCGCAGTCTCTGGTCATCTCCTGTGCTGTGTCCGCAGTCTCTGGTCATCTCCTGTACTATGTCCGCAGTCTCTGGTCATTTCCTGTACTGTGTCTGCAGTCCATTGGTTCAGAATATTTTTTTTCTTGTTTTTCTCCTCTAAAACCTAGGCGCGTCTTATGGTCAGGTGCGTCTTATGGAGCGAAAAAAATACGGTATTTGTTTTTTTTAAATGGCCTGAATATTTTTAATGCACAGAATGCATTAAGGTAAACATAAAAACCTTAAGGCTTTAGAATCACTTTAGAATTATTTAAGATGTAATTTATTTTGTAGAATACTATTTACAAATATTTCCACTAAATAATATTTATTCTGAGTACAGGAACCCCAAATATTGGTTTTGCCACATCAGCTGTCTATGGTTGATAAACATATTTCTATATATTAGGTATTTTGCAGTACGATGGCTGTAAGGCTGCTTTAACATCCTCCCAGCATAGATGGCTGTAGAAAAGGAATAAGGCTCTAAACAAATGTGCATTGTTTAAATGATAAGTTTACCTTTTGTAAAAAAAAAATAAATAAATAAATGCCCATCTCTTTGCAGGTAAAATATGCATGTATTATTGTTTTCATTGCAGCCTTTAAAGTATTGCACGCATGATCAGCAGATTGTGGGTGCAATGCCAGGATTCTGCAGACTCTAATTAAACTGCCTGCTTGTACATCCGATACAGGCAGGCAGTTACTAAATGGCAAGAAGGATCAAAGGACTACGAGAGCGCTCACCAGCACCCTAGCAGTTCACTGAGAACTACATGCCATCAGACATAATGGCTGATGGTATTTGTAGTCTAATTCATTCACAGGAATCAATGCTAATGAATGATGCTACCATGTGAGTGGAGCTCACACAACCGCACTGTTTTCAAACTGTGTGAAAGCGAGTAGAGAGAGAGGATCCCCCACACGCTGTCACAAAGCGGAGAGTGCTGGTGAAAGGAGAGGGCAGCAGAGGAGCATGCTACATACTACACCCTAAGAATGGGTGTAACATGTAATATGCTCCTAAAGGTGAACGTAACCTTTAAACTTAGCTGTTAAAATATATGTAGATGGGAGCAGTGACATTTGCTCATTGGACATGTAGGATATGTTTCCTGTTGTCCAGTTCTCAAAGCAGATAAGTAAAGTTTTAGTTAATTCTACCCAACTTTAAAATTTTCAGTTAAGTGTTCTTTGGAGTTTCAGAAAAACCACATCCTCACTTGTCTCAGTGGTTCTGCATGAAGGATCAAACAGCCACTACAGGGCAAATGAATAAATACCATTAACAAGTATAATTCAGTATGAACTGAACTGTATCTGCTGGTTGACAGATATCAGTGAAAACATTGCTTCATCAGTGTCTCCATGTTTATCCTGGGTTAGCATGCCATACACCACACTGCGGTAAAGCCGCCAGTATCAATTTACACCCTGTTCCAAATTATTATGCAAATTCTATTTATGTGTCACAAAGATTAAATATTTTGTTTTTCAGTTTAACTCATGGATGGCATTATGTGTCAGGGCTCTTTTGATCACTGAAAACAATCTCTGACACCTGTGATAATTAGATTGGCAGGTGAGCTCAATTTAAGGAAAAACTACTAAAGGAGGGCGTTCCACATTATTAAGCAGAGCACCATTTTCAAGCAATATGGGGAAGAAAAAGGATCTCTCTGCTGCCGAAAAGAGTGAAATAGTTCAATGCCTTGGACAAGGTATGAAAACATTAGATATTTCATGAAAACTTAAGCGTGATCATCGCACTATTAAGAGATTTGTGGCTGATTCAGAGCACAGACGGGTTCGTGCAGATAAAGGCACATTGAGGAAGATTTCTGCCAGATCCATGCATTGAATCAAGAGAGCAGCTGCTAAAATACCATTACATAGCAGCAAACAGATATTTGAAGCTGCTGGTGCCTCTGGAGTCCCACGGACATCAAGGTGTAGAGTCCTCCAGAGTCTTGCAACTGTGCATACACCTTCTATTCGGCCACCACTAACCAATGCTCACAAGCAGAAATGGCTGCATTGGGCAGAAAAAATGCATGAAGACTAATTTTCAAACAGTCCTGTTCACTGATGACTGCCGTGCAACCCTGGATGGTCCAGATGGATGGAGTAGTGGATGGTTGGTGGACGGCCGCCCTGTTCCAACAAGGCTGCCACGTCAGCAAGGCGGTGGTGGAGTCATGTTTTGGGCCGGAATCATGGGAACAGAGCTGGTCGGCCCCTTCAGGGTCCCCGAAGGTGTAAAGATGACCTCTGCAAAGCATGTGGAGTTTATGACTGACCACTTTCTTCCCTGGTACAGAAGGAAGAACTATGCTTTCCGTAATAAAATTATCTTCATGCATGACAACGCACCATCTCATGCTGCAAAGAATACCTCTGCATCAATGGCTGCTATGGGGATAAAAGGAGAGAAAGTCATGGTGTGGCCTCCATCCACCCCTGACCTCAATCCTATTGAGAATCTTTGGAGCATCCTCAAGCAAAAGATCTATAAGGGTGGGAGGCAGTTTACATCCAAACAGCAGCTCTGGAAGGCTATTCTGAAATCTTGCAAATAAATTCAAACAGAAACTGTCCAAAAACTCACAAGTTCAATGGATGCAAGACTTGTGAAGCTGCTATCAAATAAGGGGTCCTATGTTAAAAAGTAACGTGACCTGTTAAAATGTTTAAAAAGTTAAAAATGTTGTTAAAAGTTTGATTGAAATAGCTTTCGATTTCAGTAAATATGCTGCAAACACAACAAATGACCATTTTCAGTTCTTTACAACCTATGAAGTGTTTTGAAACTTACTGTGCGTAATAATTTGGAACAGTGCATTGTAAGTGTTTTATGTTTAACAAAAATCCTGTTATCATTAGAAGGTTTGTTCAATAAAATTTGAATTGTACTCTTAATAGTTGATAACATGAAAATTATGCTGACTGTTATTTACATCAATTATTTAGGTAAATGAGAAAAATATCATTTGCATAATAATTTGGAACAGGGTGTAAATTACCATTCACCGCTTTCATAAACTAAAAGCATAACGAAAGCATAAATTTGATTACCTAGGTGAAGACAAACGCCTTCTCTCTGGTTCCCGTCTTTTCCTTTCTGCAGACTTGCTCTTTGCTCTTCTTGGAGAGGACTGTGTTCGAGCGGGTGATTGTTTAGTTTTCCTATCATGAGCAAGTGGGGATCTACTATGCCTTAAAGTCCTATCACGCTGTTTGGGAGACAGACTTCTTGCTTTTGGGCTGCGGGCAGGTCGACGTCCTGGTGAGCGGTTTTCTTTGCCAGAAGAGGCATCTTTTGAAGGTGACTTAGGAAGGAGCTTCTTTTCCTTTTCTAAATCAGACCTCCTGGGTTTGTGCTCTTTAGACTTTGATCTCCTCTCTTTGGATTTGCTTCGCCTTGGCAAAGGAGATTTAGACTTCCTTGTACGATCTTTTGTTCTGTTTTCAGTAACTACTGGCGATTTCTTCCTTGGTTTGACTCTATCCTCAGGAGGTGACTTAGACCTTATATTTTTTTCAGGAGATTGCCTTCGCAATGCTGGCGACTTTTTTGGCTGCTCTTGGGATCGATTCTTTTTAGATGGACTTTTAGATTTTCGCCGTTCCTTGGACCTACTCCTAGGTGGTTTTTCTTTAACAGCTTCATTATTGGCTTTAGGTTTTTTCTTTTCTGTCTTGTGCTTCGTCTTCTCTTTGGACTTGCTCCTAGACCTCTTCTTAGAAGTATTTTTTGAGTAAAGATCCTGTTTTGCTTTTGCATTTGATTTGGAGACTCTTTTGCCATTGCGAATTTTTTCATTAATCTCCCCTTCTTCTTCAGACCCTGAATTGTACCCCTGCAATATCAAGCCCATGCCAGACTGCACTTTACCTTCCATTAACTCATTATCAAGTTCTGCTTTAATTAAAGCTCTTTGCTTTTCAAGGTCCTCCAGCAATGCAAAGTCATCAAGCTTTGCTCTTTTTAAAGGTGAAATGTCATCTTTGTCACCATCATCTTTCCGTTTATGCTTTTTATGCTTATGTTTATGTTTGTGTTTTTTATCTTTGTCTTCTTCAGAAGAGTGTTTGTGTTTTTTATGCTTGCTTCGATGCTTGTGTTTCTTTTTCTTGTGTTTATTGTGCTTAATCTGAGGTTGTTCTTCCTCTGATACTTCACCATTTTCATCAATGCTCCTCTCAGATATATCACCATCTTCCATTCTGTAAACAAGATCAACACATCTCAGTTACATTACGGCCAAACAAGTGTAAAAAGCTTTAAATCTGATTTTTACAACTTAAACTGCAAAGTGCTCTTAAAAAAAATACACAAATGTTAGTTCAATTAAGTTTTCTATGTACAAATATAGCAGTATAACCCATACAGGCTATAGTGTAAAGGGACTAAAGCAGAAAAAAAGCCATACTTTAATCAGTGCAAAGCGCAGTACAGCCTTCTTAAAGGCATTCACATGTCTCATTCCATCACATATGTAAAAATAAAAGGATTTTTCCTCTTTTGAAGTCAGCGAGAGGAGCCATGCAAATCATTGCTTTACACCCCGTTAGTCAGATGCTCATTAAAAACTGCTAGTGTATAGTGCAAATATACTGTAGCTATTAAAGAGCCATTTATTCTAAATTGCATACAACTCTTTCAGACTATTTGGCCATAAGTGCAATGTATGAAAACTATGGCTTCTAATGAGTAGGGTTTAGGACCCAAAGAGACAGTACAACTATACAAGATTATGGTGGGAAGGAAAGTCCCCCAACTAAACATTCCAAAAATAAGATGTAATTTTACATCTTATTTTTCCAAACTGCTGTCTGGAATATATGGCTGTGCAATAGTAAGGCTATGTGCACTATACACCAGTGGTTTTGAATGTGCATATGGTTTTGATGCAATGCAATAATTTACATGGCCCTGCCCACTGCCCTGAAATGCAAAATAATGCTCTTATTTTTGGGATATGTGATGGCTCAAGAACTTGCTAAAGCATACAAGGCATAAAATTAAAAAAAAAAAAAAACTACCTCTTTTACTACCAGGCGCATACATCGGACTGACCCGACAAAGGGGAGTTTTAGGCTCCATGGACATTTTAAGAACGCTGGTAACATTAGCTGTGTAAAGTTACGTTAAAAGTGTGAGTTTTTCAGCCTTCTGCATTAGCATTTAGCGGCGTTTGCGGTTTTTAGGTTTTTTTTTTTTTTTTGCTCAAAAAACGTAAAAAGTTTGACACGTTTCACTGCGTTTTTTCAGCGTTAGTGCGTTTTACAGCTACAAAACTCCTATAGAAACCCACTAGTTCTGGGGGTTTTTTTTCACCCAGAAATCGCCCCTGCCAAAAAAAAATGCTGATTACAGTCTATGTGTGCATGGACACATAGGATAACATGCTGGGAGTTTACTGGCTGTAGAAAAAAACATCAAAGGCCAAAAACAGCCGCTGTAAAAACATCCAGTGTGCATGAGGACTTACACACACCCCATGTATAGACCTGACAAGCTGACTCCTGACTGTCAGATAGTGGCTGTGCAGCCGCCCGATTGCATACAACATCACTCCCCCCAGCTGCATGTGCCCATCGACGCACTTGGGACCGGCATGGGACATGTGTCCACTCTCCTCCACTTCTTCTTTCTGACCTAGAAGCAACATCACTTCAAGATCCTCATGTCACTGTCCCCCAGTGTGTTTGGCAATGAAAGAATGTAATGCAGTGCGATCTGTACTACATTAAATTATTTAAAGGACAGGTGAGACATCAGGTCACCTTTAGACCACTGGATGTCTCACTAAAGAGAACCTGTCACAAAAAAAAAAAAAATCATCACATAGGGGACGTTCTGTCCCTGCTAAACAGATGACCTATAGTAAACTTTTATAGCATTGCCTATGAAAAATATGGGGTACTGAAGTTTGTAGCCATTTCACAGATGCATGCAATTTTAAGCCTTGACATGTTGGATAACTCATCTTTTATATTTTACAAAAAAATGGGTAATTTAATGTGTTTGTGTACCCTAGAATTAACTTTAGTGTACTTTTTACTGAAATTTGGTGTTTCCTAGACCTTTTCGCTAATATTGTGTAACATAAAAAATTTTAACTACCACTATTTTATTCTCTAGGGTTTCTGCTTTCAGAAAATACATAAAGTGTTTTTTTTACCCCCAATCTTCAGAACTAAAAATTTTTTAAAATGTGATAAAAAAAAATACAAGAAATTGGTCTGGCAGTGAAAGGGTTATCAACCAGGTTGCATAATTACTTACTGATAAGATTAGGGGGAAAGAGGGTAGAACAGCACACAGGCATAGCTTTCTACTAAGTAAGATATAGTGTTTTCAAGCTCTGTCAGGCAAGTTTCACAAAGAACAGACTGCTGGAAGTGAATGGTTAAAAAAAATTCTGTCATATCAGGACTTCAGCCACCTGCTCATATTTAGACTGATGAGCAGGTGACTGTAGTGTCCTCCCCCTTCTCTTCACATAGGGCTGCCCTCTATCTTTGGGTAGCCTTCCACCGCCCAATAGCCAAATCGATTTACAAAACAGTTTCCAGTGTCCAGAAACAAAGTATTTTTTTTTTACTGCCTGTGTCGCTACTAATAAATTCACCTTCCCTATTTGCCCTATTGACCATTGAGTTTCTACTAGAACAAACGTGGAGTGGAAAGCTGGCCAAAGATGATGGATACATTTTTTTAGGATCAGCCAGGTGACTGTTCAAAAACAACACTTGCAATGATCAGGAAAAAAAAAAAAACATATCAATGAGAACTCTGCAATGTTACAAGTCATTCTCTGGTCAGTTGTTTTCAGAAGAAAAATCAATCAACTGAGCTGGAGCCTTCTGATCAATTACTATGACTTCCCCCTAGATAAAGAGGAAGCTGTCAGATGTAAACAGTGCAGTTGCCATAATTATGTTGGGGGGGGGGGCAGGTTTGATGAACTGCATGTTAGGCTCATTGCACATAAAATAATTATAAGGATGTAGTATTTCAGACTACACTAAGATTGTAGTTGATCCAAAATGCCATTTTTTTAAAGAAATGCTTTGTGAAATTTATTTATTTATTTCATGTACTTATATAGCGCCATCAATTTACGCAGCGCTTTACATATATATTGTACATTCACATCAGTCCCTAACCCTCAAGGGGCGTACAATCTAAGGTCCCTAACTCACATTCATATACAAGGGCCAATTTAGACAGAATCCAATTCACCTACCAGCATGTCTTTGGAGTGTGGGAGGAAACCGGAGTACCCGGAGAAATATATATATATAATATATATATATATATATATACACACCCACGCAGGCACAGGGAGAACATGCAAACTCCAGGCAGGAGGTGCCATGGCTGGGATTCGAGCCAACGACCCTAGTACTGCCAGGTGGAAGTGCTAACCATTTAGCCACTGTGCTGCCCACAAATTTGAAAATTATAAACCTCACAATATTATAGCTAATATGAAGCCAAACTTTTTTTTTCCAGCTTGCATACGTCTGTCAAGTTTTTTTTTACTGCCTGTGTCGCTACTAAGTAAAGGCATCCTTCCTATTTGCTCTATTGACCATTGAATTTCTACTAGAACAAATGTAGATTGTAAAACTGGCCAAAGATAGGATTATCATCCACACATTCAAAATGAAAGGAAGAAAGAATTCTCCCCGCTGCGCTATTCTGTCAAAATACACTGACCAGCTCTGCTGCCCATTGGCTGCATGTGCTGACCGAGTGCAACATTTCCAACATTAGACTAACTCCTCTCTAGCTGGAATGGCCATAGATGGATAGAAATTCAGCTGGTCCCTGCTGAACCGGCCAGCTTCCAGTGTAAAACTAAAAATGTGGATGCCTGTTCAGGCGACAATTGTCTAAAAGGGAAACCCCCCTTTATAGAGAATTCCTCTCGATTCCTATTTAGCCTTCAAGACACAGCAAAATTAACCAACAGGGCTTTTAACACTTCTCTACGATTTAAAGCGGGCCCTTACTCTCCTGACCCACTTTTCATCACTTTACTCCTACTCCCTCCTTTCACACAATTGCATATTTATTTCTTTATTTTTTTGTCACCCTAGGCAAGAATGATGTCCCCCAGCTACATGCAGCCTTCAGGAGTAATCTACACCACATTCACCATATCATCAGGGGAGCAGATGCAAGAACCAGAGACAACCAGCTCCCAATACTTTCAGGGAGGAAGATGGCAGCGCAGAACCTGGTGCACAGTAGTGAAACTCTAGTGAAAATAGTGAATATAAAGCCTTTATGGTAGCTACAGGCGATAGGTCTATTTTTTTGCCTACCGTACACTTTTACCCCCTTCGTTCTCAGGTCAATTTTCAGCGCTGTTGCACTTTGCTTGTTAATTGCGCGATCATGCAACACTGTACCCATATGAAATTTCTATTCAAACAAATAGAGCTTTCTTTTGGTGGTGTTTAATCACCACTTTGTGTTTTATTTTTTGCACTATAAACAAAAAGAGCAAAAAAGTTTAAAAAAAAAAAAAAGTTTTTCTTGGTTTCTATTATAAAATTTTGCAAACAGGTAATTTTTCTCCTTCACTGATGTGCGTTGATGTGCTACACTGTTAGGCAGCACTGATAGACTGCACTGATGAGGTGGCACTGCTGCTGCTGCACTGATGGGCACCAGTCATCGCCCTCCCAGAACTGGACAACCGCACTGTAGCCATCTACTTGACAACTTTATTTATGCACACCTAAAACAGATATTCTGCATATGAACTGATGTTCAATGTGGGACTTTCAAGCCCAGGAGACACGCCAGGCGTTAGCAGAGTTGCTACATCAGAACCCTGATCCCAAATCAAACAGGAACAGGGCACAGTCCTCATGCACACTTGACGTTTTTACAGCAGCTGTTTGTGGCTTTTGACGTTTTTTTCTACAGCCAGTAAACCCCTCAGCATGTTATCCTATGTGTCCATGCACGCATAGGCTGTAATCAGTGTTTTTTGGCAGGAAAAAACCCCCAGAACTAGTGGGCTTCTAGAGGAGTTTTTTAGCTGTAAAAACGCACCAATGCTGAAAAAAGCAGTGAAACGCGTCAAACTGGTGTTTTTGTACGTTTGAGCAAAAAAAAAACAAAACGCTCTAACGCTGAAAAACGTGGCAAAACACGGTAAACCTCCGTAAACCTGCATTTGTGGACATTTGAGCAAAAA